GGGGCCGGAAGGAGACTAGTGCTGGACGCTGGGTGCGGGCCGGGCGGGGCACGACCAATAGAGAGGTGCCCGCAACGCGCAACCCTAATTCGCTCACCTTCGCACCTCCAGCCACTCTTTCTTACCCTGGATGCCTGTTCCAGCTCCCTGCGCTTCGCTCTTCCCGGCTGATCAAAGAGGGCAGGGAAACCACACCGGGATGCGCAGTCTGGGCAGACTGGCTTAGGGGTGCGCCCAAGCGGACAAGGAGATGAGCGGGTGCCCCGCCTCCAGGATCTCAGAACCGAGAGCATACTCCGCCATTTCTCAGAGGGGGAAGGCGCAGAGGGAGCGCGTCTCCCTTGGGGCCCGAGGCGGGACGAGTGAAAGGACCCTGGCGAGAGGCAGGCTCGCTGGAACACATTCTGCGCACTCCTGAGTGGAACGCAGAGAATGGCTTACAATGCCGCAAACTCGCAGGGGCAGAGGATTGGGGTCTTCTCGGGCTTACTTTGTGATCCCCACTCTTTAGTCCAACTAATGGGAGCTGGAAACTGGCTCTGGACACCTCTTTCAATGAGGCCTGGTAAGCAGGCGGCCTAATGGGGTATGTGAAGTGTAGGTGTCCGCCACCCTGAGAAACAGAACTCTTAGGATGTCCGTCTGATGGACTGACCAGGTGGAGAACGAATGACAATGGAAGCTGGAGCCCAAAAGAACTTAATTTTTTGCCCAAAGAAATGATCCCTGAAACACATCCAAGCCTAAAAATGCTGGTCGTCTACTATTGGAAGAGAATTCTAGGGAAATGCCCATTGTTCTTCCACTCTAACTGCCTTTTAATGTCTGGCCTCTCTACCTACGTACAGAGGAAGAGAAGCCCAAGGGACTCTGGGTGGGAGAGTCCGGGTATCTAAGCCTAGATTGCCCCTATTCCACGTTGTCCTTCTCCTGCAGTGCCTGGCTGAGCTCATGACTGAATAAGAGAGATGTATGTCACTCTGCAGATATGAAGTCAAAGTGATGTCACCCAGACAGGAAGGAGGAGGAGTGGCCAAGACAGTGGCTGGCTGGGGGCTCTGCCAGCCAAGATGCCCAGCCTGCTGGCAGGAGGCCAGGACACAGCCCAGGAAACTCAGGAGAGTCATCTTGTGGCTATCAGACCTTGTGTCGCCTGCCATGCACCCCTAGGCTCCAGAGATTTGGATTTATGGGACCTACCTCTGGTGCTAATGGCCACCATGGCTGCAAACTCAAAACTGAGCTCCAGGAATAGACCTTAGTAGGAAGGGAAGAGCTGAGAGGGGCACTTCTTCTTTGCAAAGAGCCTCTCCTAGCTGCCACCCAGGAAGGTACAAAAGATGGGTAACCTAGTCCCTTCTTCCAACCAGCCTCACTCTATGCCTTGCAGATGGACTCTGCTCAAGCTGTATGTCTGGTGAGGCCCTGTGTGTCGGGCTCTTCCACCCGCGGCCCCCTCTCCCAAATGACTTGTTTTCTTCCGAATAGCTTCCCCTCTTCCCATTTTCTACTTTCTTTTCATTACCCCCTTTTCCCTCAGCTCTCCCCTTCTCTTCATTCTCCTTCCCCCCTTGTACCCCCTCAGAGCAGTCACATCTCCATTCTTTTTTCCTAGCTGGAGAACAAGAACCTATTGCTGGGACCAGGGTTCTTCATGCACAACAGAATAATAACACAGTAACTGCTTTGCCCTACTCCGAGGCTAAGCCCAAGTGATGCTTTGAGAGGATCAGCACAGTTCCTGGCTCAGCAGACAATGGGCACTTCTCTTTTCTTCGAGGCTCAGGTCTAGGGAGATGTCTGGGTGAAGGTTGCAAGTGAGTTTGGAGTTATGTCCTGGCTGTGTCTCTTGTCTGTGTCACCTCAGTATGTTCCCTGTCTCTTGGCCTCAGTGATCCTTCCCCCCAGGTACCCAAGGGCAAACAAATCCCCATCATAGTCAGTATTAATTGTCATTGTTATTAATTCCTGTCAACTGTAGAAACTGAGGTCAAAGAAGCTAGTGGACCTTACCAAGACAGCAGACAAGCCAGTGGCCCCTATGTACTTGTTCTCCGCTTCCCTTTAATGTGCCCCCTCCCCTCCATCTGGGCAGGTATGGGGATGTACTTACCCCTGTATGGAGAGAGCAGCCAAATGTGAGACTGGCTTGGAGGAGACCACACCTGTCTCTCCTCATCCCCATGTGACCTGTCACCTTATCAGTGGAAAGAGGAAAAGATGCTTAGAGCCCCAGAGTCCTCTGTTGAAGCAGCACTTCCCGGATTGTGATTGTACTGTCAGCCGTGGCATTTCAGTGGATGTTTACCCGACTCAGGCTCCAGGGGGCTTTGTTCACAAGGTCCCCCTCCCAAGTCACTGCTGACCCAAGGCTGGATGGAACCTGATGGACCCTAGGCCGAAGCCAAAGAGCAGGCCTTCCAGGCTCACAGGCGAGCTATGGGGATGTCAGGGAGCCAGAATGGGCAAGTCCAGCAAATATGGCCTGAATGCTTTAAAAAACAAAAACAAAAAAACAGCATCTCCCAAGGCAGTTTCATAATCTGCCTTGTAATGCAGATTTAGACAACTTTTTACAAATGCACTTTTTAAAATAGGTCTTAATGGATCCTTTGCAGTAGTTACAGTCCATTGTGTAAATGCAAACAGAAGGCTTTTTGAAAACATGTATTATTGATCAGAAAGGCAGCAGCAATTAGAAGCCAGTGTGTCATATTTTCGATACACACTTCCTATACAGCCCTGCTTGTGCTCACTCATAACTTTCTGACAAATTACCCTGTCACTGAGAGGCCTTTCTTTTCCCTATTGCTTCTGGAAGTGAAGAAGGACCTCCCCGTCAGTTATTAGCTGGAGGTGCATGAAAAATTAAGCTTACCTTTATGGTCACAAAACCTATTTATGACTTCTCTGCCTTTAAGACTAAAATGACAAGATCTGCAGGCGAGATGGATAGTCCTTCTTAGTCCTTCTGGATTTGTTAATGGCCCACAAAAAAAAAAAAAAAAAAAGCAAGTGGGTCACAGGCAGCAGCATGGTGCAGGGGGCAGGACCCCAAGCTGGGAGATCTGAAAATGCCGAGAGGTCTGCTTTGTGGGACAGCTGCTAAAGCAGAGAGGAAAAGACATCCTAGGAGGGTTCCTAGGAAGAAGTGGGACTCTGATGTCCCCCATATTTTCCTCTCTTCCCTGTCAAAGAACCTAAAATGATCAACCAAGTGAGTTGAGACTTATTAAAAAATTATAAGTAAATCTATATGTCACCCAATCTGTTCATTCCATATTTGTCCTACTTCTTGAAGAGTTTATTCATTTAACAAGTGTTCATGGGTATTTATTATATTCTAGACACCAGTTTTTGGGGTTTTTTTTTAGAAGTTTATTTTTTAATTTTAATTATTTATTTTTGTGCAGAAGATCTGGGGTACAGGACAGAGGTGTGGGGGGAGGGATGGAGAGGATTCACCTGAGCTAGAGTGGGGAGCAGAACAGGTGGGTTCACTGAAATACACTGCCGAGGGGGGACAGAAGGCGACCCAAGAGAGGTCTGCTGTGCCATGTGGCTCAGTTCCCTGATTGGGGATCGAACTCAGTGCTTAGCAGTGGCAGATTACCCTAGACCACGAGGGAGGCCCTAGACACCAGTTTTAGTGATAGTGAACTAAACAAAACCTTTTCTCCCTGGTGCATCTCAGGGACAGCCACCAACACACATACAAGTATAGTCATAAGAAAGTGACCCCAGAGGGAGGAGGAGGGTCGAGGCAGCCCTCAGAGCTGTGCGCCTCCCTCCTTCCATGATGACTTTGGGCAGAGAGATGGAGCTGTGGGCATAGCACTGTCCTTCCTGTAGATGTTAGGAGGCAGGAACGAAGGCAGGAGGGGCCACTATTCTCTTCCCCAGGGGATCTCCCCCTTGGCAGTCTCCCCTCCCTATTCTCTTCCCCAGGGGATCTCCCCCTTGGCAGTCTCCCCTCCCTCTCTGGAAGCTGCAGCTCTGATCTCGGAGAGAGTTACAGCCTGCAGGCTCTGCAGAACCAATACTGTGGCCTGGGCGGTCTTTTGGAACACAAAACCCCAGCGTGCTGTTGGAACGCTGACAAATAGGAAGTCCATTGACTTAATGCCTGGTAATGGCTTCCATGGGCTCCTGACCCAGGATGGCGTGGACAGCACGGGCAGCAGCTCTGGGCAGGGTAGACAGTTAGTCCCATTTCAGGCCTGCGAGTGTTGAGGCACGTGCCATTATTGCTGGAGGGTTATGATAGACCCTGCCTCCTCCACCTGTGTGGTGGGGGCACAGGGTCAGGGTACAGCCTGGGTGACTCCCTCAGCTCTCTGTACTTGTAGACAGATACTTGCTTGTCCCCCTGCATTCTGACGGTGCCCCTGTGGACTGTACCCAGCGACTGCAGGAACCCTGGGGCTTGGCACCCTTTTTGTTTCCTTTCCAGCACATCCCTGAGGTTGCCTCCTGAGCCTGGGTCCAATCAGGGCTGCAGACCTCATACAAGTCAGATAGGGACCCCTCCCTCCCTCTTTTAAGAAGTTGGCCAGCTTGGGCTCACCCTCTAGAACAACGCGGCTCAGTGACATATCCTGCAATGATGTGAACCTAGCCTGGCCATCCCATCTGGGGGTGGCTAGCCCACTATGCCTACTGAGTGCTTGAGATGTGACTGGTGTGTCTAAAATCATGGAATTTTAAACTTCACTGAACTTATAGCAGTTTAAAATTAAATAGTCACATTTAGACAATGAAGCTCTAAGAAACAGCTCCCAGCCTCTCCCTGGGCTGCTGAGGGTAAAGCCAGGCTCCTG